GAACCTAGATGTTTCAACTATGGTAAAATGGGACATACTAAGAAAAATTGTAGACAGACAAATTCTAACAATGCCTCATAGGAAGGCCATTGCCTTCTGGATTATGTAAAAGATGTGCTAAGGACAGACACTGGACCAATGAATATAGATCGACCAGGGACATACAAGGAAACCCATTAAGGTCGGGAGAAACCCCAAGGGGGGGGCTCAAGAAGGCCCCCATATCGAGAAAGGTCGGGTATGTAGCTAGTTAGGGATAGCTTCCTATTGTTTATGGTTGGGATTGGAAGGAGGTGTTCAGGCTTGGACACCGCTTTCAGATGACTTTAGGGTTTAGTTAAAATAGATAGTTAGGATGTGACATAAGCAGACTGTTGTATCTTCTTATATTTTACCATTATGATTTTTAATTTTGGATACTTTACACTGTTAAGTTTTAATCCTCTTTTAGACTAAAAGGGAAATTGTAGGGGAAGCTGCAGCCACACCTACTCAGGGGCTGGCTACAGGTGTGCCTGACCATGCTTTCGAGGGCATGGTCAGGGTGACATGGAGCAATACTTCGTTTTCTCTTTTGGTTTCACTTTTGTACTTGATAGACAGACTGCTGCCACAACGGCTGGCTAGGTCACTCTGTAATTAAGGCTTTTCCCTATTAAACACCATTATATTTCTACCTGACTCCGTATTGGAAATTTCCCACTATAAAGTCTAATTTGTTAGACATTAGGATTGCTACACCAGCTTGTTTCTTGGGTCTGTTTGATTGGAAAATCCTTCCCAACCCTCAACTCTATGGTAACCTCTGTCTTTGAAGTTGAAGTGTGTTTCATGTATGCAGCAGAAGGATGGATTCTGTCTTCGTATAGATTCTGTTAGCCTGTGTCTTTTTATAGGCAAGCTAAGAAAATTATTATTGAGGGATGTTAATGACCATTGATTGGTTATTTTTGTTTGTTTGGATTTGTTGTTGTTGTTGGTATTATGTGTGGATTCACACCCCTTTTTTTCCTTTTGGCTGTTGGTAAAGTGGGTTATATATTGCCTATGTTTTTGTGAGTGTAGTTAACTTCCTTGGGTTGGGGTTTTCCTTCCAGAACTTTCAGTAGTGCTGTATTAGTGGATAAGCATTGCTTAAATCTGGTTTTGTCATGGAATATCTTGTTTTCTCCATCTATAGTGATTGAAAGCTTTGCT